TGTTTTTGGTGTATTTTGTTTTGTTTTTAGTGCATTTTGTTTTGTTTTTCGTGTATTTTGTTTGGAAGTCGGTTTTGTTTTTTTATTATTCTATATAAAAAACTTTTTTGTATTACACGGTGGCAAGCGAGCACGTGACTGCCACATATAGGCTGTTTCAAATGCAGTATAGCTGCCTACCATAGACATCGCCAAAGGGACCGAGGGGGAGGCAGACTAAGGTTTTCTACAATTAATTGAGACCGGTGTATATATAAGGACATAATAAGATAGCAGCCATATAATATAATGACAATTGCAACACCTTTTTTTTTTCGAAGGGGAATGCTTTCTGCATACTCCATGCCTCGGGGCAGACACGTGAGTTATGTGGGACTCTCCCCCCATAGTGGGGGGCATACCGCACTAAACCCCTTCGTTCCCTCCTGGCCATTGTGTGGGGCGCCACGGGATCGCTTTCGCTTGCCACCGCGACGCCCCACTACAATTGCAACACCTGGCCCTTACGCGGCACTATTTTGTGGTAAATAAACAATGCCCATTTATGGCATAGTCATTGTGTAAAAGATAAGAGAAATAGTGTTTAGACATTGAAAATGATTAGTAGATTACACTGGTGTTCATTATGTTATGTTATAATACGCAGATTTAAAAAGTTTTGCAAATTATAACCTGTGTACATAGTGGTCTCAAACTTTTGGCCGGCAGTGTGCGTCGAAAAATCAATTTTTGGTTAAAATATTCTCTTTGAAAAAATAGTGCTTGTACTCGATTTTACCATCTGTTGGCGACACACATGTTTATCTGCCATTAATCGAAGAAGGTAATCGGAGAGAAAGATATTTTCCCTCCCTACGCGTCCTCTCCTTCGCCAAATCCACTTATTCAAACCATTTCCTAACAGGGATATGGACTAAAATTAGGCCTCTAGCTTCGAATACATAAAAACTAAACAATTAATAATAAATAGAATTAATTTGTCTATTCTAATGTAGACATTTTCTGCATTCAGTTGTCAATTAATATCTTTAAATGCGGTACATTTTTAAAAATTATAATATAAATACAATCCTTTATTTGTCAAAATCATGGTCACCCTACACAAAGTATTAGGGGGTCATCTGTCTTAATATAATTGTAGATGCACGAGGGGTCCGTGTTTTTATTGTCCGCGGAGTGACTTTATTGTTGCTATTAGGCAGAAAACTGGGGAATGATAGCCATAGAGTAGACAGGTAAGATGTTCCAGATTGTTTATTGACTGCTAATTGATTTTTAGCGGACGTTTATTTGGAAATATTTCGGTCAAGAGATTTATTGATAATGTTTTGGAAGTATTTATTATTTTAGGTAACAAATTAGGAATCGTGTTTTAAAAAAATATCCAATTATATTATGTGTCTTCATGCTTTATATTTTGCTTTTATTAAAATAATTTGCACCAATTTTTTAAAATTTTAGACACTGTCTTTTATCATGTTCCGCAGAGAATTACGAATGAAGACTGAAAGATTAATATAAATATTTTTAGTGGTAAACTAAAACTATAATGCGAAGTCAAACAATTATACAAGTATAGTACATTTTATTAAACGTAATTATTAAGTGTATCTTACTATCTATGCCCCCAACTAAGTCTGCGTGAAATGAAAAAATAAGTAGTCTATGTGTTATTCCAGACTATCCTCTACATCTATGCCAAATTTCATCGATATACGTTCAGCCGTTTAGGCTACAAACTCTAACAAACATCCATCCAAATTTTCGCATTTATAATATTAGTAACAAAAGTTTACGTCACAGTTTTTGCTAGCGTTTTTTTTTAAATCACTGTTAAATTCATTCTTCATACATTATCTATTGTACTTCAAAAGACATATCGTTTACAATGATAAGAAACATGCTCTGAGATATAATTTATTTTCTGGCATTAATTCAAATTTTTCAATGAGAAATGATGAAGAAATTTGTAGACCGATGTAAATTATTAGCAAAGAATCTTTTGATCTAATTTCTTAATAATATGCATGAGATTATTTAATCGTTTTGTGAATTTCCACTATATAACTGAATATAAATTATATGCAATATAATAAACAATGTCACTTCCGAAAGCATACAAAAAATACAAGCATCCTTAACATTTTCTTAAAAAAAAAGATAAAAGTATTACGATTTTCGACAGTCAAAACTGACCCTAATATAATTGAAAAATGTCTAAAGTAAAATGTAATTTCTTCTTTTTTTCTATGATTAAACGGAATAACAAAATGTTAGTTCATTAAAAGCACTGGCCTAATTGATTTTATTTTTACACAATACAAAGTACAGGAAACAAATAAAGCAGTAAAATTGGTATCTAATTTGGTAATTGCTCAAAAAGATACATTTTACTTTGCTTAAAAACGAAACTTGCGGTTTGCGGTTTACTGACAAAGACTAGAATTTTCCACGTATAGAAATACATCAGACATTTTAAGCCCCTTTTCTACTTATCACTCTTAACTTAATTAAAACTATTTAAAAATATAGCGAGCTAATTTTAAAGAAATATTGATGCGACTTACGTTGTAAAATAATCAGCTTTGAGATTTAAAACAAATAGCACCTCACCAAATAAAAACACCAATTATAATACTATTGTTAATTTTACTACACTCTATATTATGATTTTGAAATCGTAAACTTTAACGCGGGAAACTTTGCTAGCAAGCGACATAGATCACAAGAACATCCGTACTCGGCGCGTGCTGCGCGGCAACTGGCAGGCGAGAAGTTTTTTCACCAAGGAGTTTTCATTATTTTGATCACGCGTCAGAGGGCGGGAAAGCCGCGTTCGAATTATGAATGTTGTACGCATTTTGTCTATGTCGGTATCTCAAACACGGAGTACTTAATTTAAAAAAGGGTTCAATGACATAAACGTCTTCAATCTTTTAAGTAAACTGATAAAAATAATATTACCTTATTTGAGTATTTACTCTTCAGTACTTAGAACTAAATAGTTACTCCAGTAGTTCTTTAGCAAGGGACAGCTTTCTTTTTAAACCTCTAGCTGATTTTTGACAAATCATTAGTAATCGAAATATTTTTGTGTAAGCTTGAGAAAGTTAGAGAGAAAAAAGTATTGTATATTTTTCATTAAAAGCATTGTTTTATCTAACATATTTTTTCAAAATGTACATTATTCCAAATATGCAAAGACCATAAGCCGAGCCTACGGTTTTTATTTCTCTCACTGGTTAAGTTAATGAATATTTTATCACAATGTTCCAACCGTTAAAATAACCAGCTCATTTATATTTTTATCTAGTAAGGTGAGATTAATTTATGGTTTAAAATTGTACGTGTGTAAAAACAACGGTAACTGAGGACATTGTCATAGTGTGGAATGGAATATTAAAATGTTTTTTATTCACTTTTGTGCCAGTATTAAATCTAACTGATGTATATTAATAAAAAAGAATAAAGAGGCAACATATTTTTTAAATTTTTAGTTAGCACACAATTCACATTAGTGTTTAAAGCCAGCTACATACGCTCGTGCGTGTGTATGCAAAACATTAACTAAACATTCCAATTAAAGTTTAAATGAATAAAAGTTCAAATATTCGGTTAAAACGAAGCGGATGCAGACAAAGTTTTAACTTTCAATTGAACTGTTCAATAAAAAATTTCCCTTTACACGCACAGTTTTACGGAATAGTCCGATTGTTCAATTAAAACTGTCAAAACTGCGCTTATTTGGTGTGCTTTACGTTTTAAATCTAATTGAAATAATATTATTTAATGAAATTATAATTCTTAAGAATGATTTATCAAACGCCTTATTACGTCATTGTACTCAACACAATTAGTAACAAACTTTTAGATAATATACAAGGTTATTGTCAAAACTCAAATCATCACATACAACGCTACATTAAACATTAATACAAAATCAAATGTCTAAGGGTTATATCAAATAACATATTAATACAAAAAGAAACTCTAACACAAACAAATAAAGTCTAATATAATTTTTCAGTTGAGTATATCCACGTTAAGACCAATGTCCCCAAATAAAAATACATGGCCGGCAAGAAAAACATATCATAAAATTATAAGTATAACGAGCAAGTGTAAATCATTTTTATGCCTCTATTTACTTTGACCAAATAAAATTAATATTTCCCTTAAAGCTTAATTTCTTTTCCTATAAATGATAAACTAGTCTATCTTTAATAAACAAACCTACTCAATTATCTGTACTTCTATACTATTATAATAAAGCGTAAACACATACTTCTTTGTTGCCTAAGATGTCAGCAATTACAGCATATTTTTGAATGATCCTTTTTTTTAACAAAAAGCCCTACACTTACGTCATGCTTTAGGCTATATCACGCTATTAAACTAAGGGGGTAAATGAATTGGTTAAAAACCTTATGAGGGAAAGAGATCATAAGTTGCTGCCAAGATCAAGGACGCAAGATTGCCAAGGTTTGTCATGTCATGTCATTTCGACATTTGCTATTGATAATTTGACAAATGTAAACAATAAAGTAAAATATTCATAATTTCATGCGGATGTAGCCGCACGGGAACAGCTAGTTATACATAATAAAACTTACAAAAAACATAAGTATTTAGCCTATGCCTTCTACCAGACTATCCTCTACATCTATGCCAAATTTCATCAAGATCCGTTCAATAGTTTAGGCTAAACACTAACAAACATCCATCCGAATCTTCGCATAATATTAGTAAGACTGTAATCAAATAAACTCTTTGTGTATTTTGTTAGTCGGTCGATGACTTCGTAACAACTTACAGTCTAGAAACTTATCTGGTGAGTGATGCTTTTATCGCGGTTAGATCTGACAATAGACTTAGGCTTACTTAAAAAGACGTTAAAAGAGAAATAAATAGTACGTCAAAATTATCTGGCTAGGGGAGTAAGTGGAACTACGAGTAAGATGTCCATAAGTCATGTTTAGTGTTATGGCTTTAGTTATGTAGTTTCAAGAGGGAGAGAAAGAGAGAGAGTGATAACAAGAATAAACAATTTCTTAGACAACAACAAAACTTCTTAGAAACAAGATTTCTTAGAAACAAAGACCTTATCTTTCTATTTACGTAGAAAAGTGTAACGAATTTTGCGGTCAGAGTTAAATATAAATAAATATATTAACGGAACGGAAATAATTTTCATATTAAATGGATAATGCTTTTTATCGTCGTTTCTCTGAAAACATAATCTAACTAATATAAATGCGAAAGTCTAGATAGATAGATGTTTTTAGATTTGTAGCCTAAACGGCTGACCGGATGTCGATGAAATTTGGCATAGTTGTAGAGTATAGTCTGGAAGAACACATAGGCTACTTACTTTTGTTTTTATTTAATTACACGCGGACGAAATCGCAGGCGAAAGCTAGTGATTATATATTGTAACGTTAACATTTTTAAACAGATATCGTAAAATGAGGTGAAGCCACAACTTTAAACTTCAACGCTAAATTTTTAAGGAAGATTATCATTTAAAAATAAATAAATCCACTATGATCTAGATCTACATCTGCGTAAAAGTTCTCAGAGAAACCTCTCTTTCATGCATGTTATAATGAAAAAAAGCATTTTTTCATTATAACATGCATTGATTGAGTTCAAAATACAGAAATTATATTTAGTTCAGGGACTAAAGTAGCATATCGTGGGAACAAGGACCACTTCCTGAATCCAGCGATAATGAACATAGGCCGATATTGTATCACAATAACAACTAATGATTCATTTATTTATACCACTATATGGGGGACTAATTATAGTCTCCCTTAGTGCTAGTTTAGTATTTTATTAAGACTAAACGGCGATTTAAATCATACTAATATTACAAATGGTAAAGCTTGATGTTTGTTAGAGTTTGTAGCCTAAAAGGCTAAACGGTTCTCGATGAAATTTAGCATACATGTATTTTTCACTTTTATTTTTATTTTAAAGCCACGCAGTTTTTAACAGTGGTAGTGCCCGCTTTAACATCTTAGCACTGCAGGGCCGGCACGCCCGGTGTAATACCACGACCACACAGAAGACAGACGTGAAATGGAAGCAATTCCGTGTTTCGCCTGATGAGTGTGGTGCCGGAGGCCTAATTTAATGTCCCTTTCTCTTTACCACAATTTTCTTATAAGAAGAGGATGGGAAGGGGAAGTGGATTTGACCGGGGAAGAGATGCATAGGAAGGGACAATATCCTCTTTATGTGCGTCTCCTCCTCCGTCGGATAAGGGTAGGCAACGCATCTGTAATCGCGGATGTCTATGGGCAGCGGTCGCTTCGCCATTTTGGCGGCTTCAGGCGGCCGCTTGCTCGTTTGCCACATTATGTTATAAAAAAAAAAGTCGGGTTCACGGTCGAAAGCTACTTCAGCATAATCGCGAAGTGACCACGCATTGACACCCGCATTTGTAAATAACGCACCTCTATCAGAACAGGGGACGCACGCATCTAAACCTACATCTCTATTTCATCTTATTCCTATAAGTAAATAGTGGGAATTTGCAGACCAAAACAGGCCTCCTTCAGACACAAATAGTATGGACGATTTATACAAATTTGCGCCTGTATATATATCCGAACTCTTTGATAGAATGGTGGCATACTGGCCACTAAGAACCTTTGCCTTTTTGATTAATAAAAAATATAAAACAGTAGAGAATTGCGCGGGAAGTAAGTTAAAAAGTTGATGTACATATTAAATACAGTTACGTAAATAGTTTTTTTTTTGGCTGTCTTGCAATTGTTTTAAATTCAAATCTTCCTTAGTGTAAACTTTGTTTTAATAATATGCTAAGGGTCTTTAGTGGCCAATTCTGTAGTATTTAATCAAGAAGGAAGATTTCACAAAAATTAGTCAGTAAATGACAAGAGAGTAGTGCACCTCGGGGAATTTGATGTGATTTGTTATTTAGGTCAGTGGTACAATGAGCCAACATTGTGACGAGATGTTCTTAGAAGAGGAACATACGTGAATATGTAAGTGTCGAGTATTTATAAATCATAATCTATACTACTATAATAAAGCGTAAACACACACTTCTTTGTTGCCTAAGATGTCAGCTATTACAGCTTATTTTTGAATAATTGTTTTTTTAAGAAAAAGCCCTACACTTACGTCATGCTTTAGGCTATATATTTTAACGCCATTAAACTTAGGGGGTAAGTATTTTGGATAAAAACCCTAATGTGGGACAGAGATCATAAGTTGCTGCCAATATCAAGGAAGCAAGATTGTTATGTCATGTCATTTTGACATTTGCTATTGATAATTTGACAAATGTAAACAATAAAAAAAATCATAATTTCATGCGGATGACGCCGCACAGGAACAGCTAGTCCATTTATATTAGTTGTTGAAATTAATATTGTCGTGCAGTCTCTGTACTTCTCAATAGAATGAATGAGATAGAAATATGTTTAAATTTTGTCATCCGTTTATACCTTTAGTTAGTACGAATAAACTATTATAAATCTTTACTATTACTTCTTAGATGTATTAATAGATGGATGTGGTATCTCCAGAATTAATGAAAGATGTAGAATAGAATCTGGTAGAACACATAGGATAACTATTATGTTTTTTTTTAATTCCGCGCGGTTGAAAACGCGGGGAATACCTAGTTATACTTATATTATAACTGCGAAAGTTTAGATGGATGTTTGTTAGAGTTTGTTGCCTAAACAGCTGAACGGATTTCAATTAAA